CCTGACTTTCTAAACTTGCTTCTCAGCTTCCACACATTGAGTGTCTAGACAGGTCTAGGTGCAAAGTAGTAAAACATCTGAATACTTTTTAGGGTCACAGAAAACCTCAACCCCCACTGAACTGCTATGAAAGGGGGGAATTCATCTTCATAAATCCAAGTTAAAATCTCTTCCTTTGGATACCATGCTGCAAAACACAGTAGCAGAGGAGATAATGGCAAAGAAGTAGCTCATGGTAAAGTGAAGAATAGGAGCTTACAGTTGTGGAAATCTCCAACAAATTAGCCAAATATGAATATACCACCAAATGACTAAAAATCAAGAGAGACTGCAAAGTGAGCAGCAGGGAGAAATATGGAGCTACAGAGAGAGCGTGACTCATTTCCTCCCACACACTTCTGAATTTTCAGTTGAAACCCCAACAGTTCAGCCCAGCTGCACCTTTTCTTTAAAAACTAGGAGGCCTTTGTAATATACAGTTCCATAGACAAAAATGTAGGTTGCTTGGTGAACATCAGGGAAACAGAACTGCAGAGATATTATGGGTCATCTCCTCCCACATACCTCTAACAGAATTAATTCCAAGAAAGTAGAAAGAAATGTGTAATCTATTAGATGACCAGAAAACACCACAGAGGCACAAGGAATATAAGAAACCAAGAAAATATCTCTCCCCCAAAGGAAAAGAACAGCTCTTCATCATCCACACACAGTACAATGGAACTCAAGGAAATGTCAGATAAGGAATTTATAATATTCATAGTGACGAAGGTAACAGATGCAAGAAAAGAGATACAACAAACTCCAAAAGATGCAGAAGAAAAGAGACAATGAGTTCTAGGAGTGAAGAAGTTCTTACATGATCTGAAAGGGAAAATGCACACCATAAAAAAGAATCAAGCTGAACTGTTAGAGATGAAGACTATAATACAGGAAATCAAAATCTTCCTTGAAAGTATTAAAAGCAGATTAGATCATGCAGAAGATAGAATCTCAGATGTAGAAGACAGACTTTCTGATCTAGAAAAATTCACCCAAAAGTCTGAGAAAATAACTCTCCAAAATGAGAATAATACACAAATAATACTAGATACCATTAAACACCAATAATCAGTATCTCAGAGGGTGAAGAAACTAATCAGGGCATTGACAATCTATTCCATGAAATCCTGGAGGAAAACTTTCCAAACCTAGAGAGGCATTCAAATATCCAGACCCAAGAAATACAAAGGATCCCACCTAGAATCAACCCGAGAAAATCTTCCCCAACGCACCTCATAGCCAGATTGACCAAAATCACAGACAGAGACAAGACACTAAAATTGGCAAGAGAGAAACATCAAGTTACTATCAAAGGATATCCCATCAGGCTATCATCAAACTTCTCATCAGAAACAATGCAAGCAAGGACAGAATAGGAAAATATATTGTGTTAAGTGAAAAACAATTTCAGTATTGTTTTCAATATTGTCCTTAACATGTTCTGAACATTCTCGAATAAACAAAACCTGAGAGAATTTACTAACCCAGAGAAGCTCTTCAAGAAGTTCTAGAGGGAATGCTATACCAGGAAAACTAAATACAGACAGACAGAAATAAAGAGAACAAAAAATGGCCAAGAAAAAGACCAAATTAATGGTAGGGATAAGTTTGGAAATATCAATAATAATGTTGAATGTTAACTTCCAAGATTTAAACAGAAAGATCAGATCAGAGTAACACTGCAAATTCAACGAGAGAGAGATTACATGAGACTGAAATGTTGAAATAGAATTCTATGACTATCTAAAACATTACTGATTTTCTTTTATGCTTTGTCTTCCAGATTTAAGGATTTTGGTTTTCTTGTAAGTTGTTGATAGATTCAGCAACTTGTTAATCTCTTTTGTAACTGAAACATAAACTTTTATCCCTTCCTGAACCCTTTGCAATTGGAAAATATTTGTGAGCATTCTTATTTTGTGGCAGAATGGTTATTTGCATAAGTTCAATAATACAACAGTTCCTGTTGCCCTGCATCAGAAATTAAATTCTTATGGGGTTTTGTGCAAATAACAGACCAAATTGAGACTGACCCTTTTTTTCATTTTGGCAAATAAGTTAGTTTGTACCTCTCTTTAGTAAAGGGTCAATAGAGAGAGAAAAAAAATGTTTCAGAAGATTATAGTGCATTTGACATTAGATTTTAGCATCGTCCATATTTTTAGTTTAAGTTATTTTGTGAATCAAGAAAATGAGAGAAAAAAAGTTTAGTATGGAAAGGAGGGAGGGGAAAGAAAAATTAAAGTATGTTAATTGACAAAAAAAGGAGAAGCTTTATGATAATGTATATAGTAATATCTTTGTCTTGACTGGCATGCATGGTATTTGTGCTAGAAAAAAGAAATCTTGTACACTGTAAAGACATGTAATTAAATGTAAAAACAAAACAAAACAAACCAAACCCATATACACAAGAGGGAGAGACATTTTCAGCCATAGTTAGTAGCTTACATAATAGTCACAGAGTAAGTGCTCAGAAAATAGTTGGGAAGTCAAAAAGGAACTTAAATAAAAGGTAGACAATAGAGTGTGCACGCACACATATACCATTTACCTATTGATTTGAGACTTGCATCTAGTTAGTTGAAGCTAAAGAAATATACTTTTTTTTTTTAAAGCTAGGTCTTATTTTATCTGCATATTTTAAAGGAGTTGCTAGTCTTTTCAACTGTTAAAATCAAGGGAAATAAACTATAAAATTCTGCTGCCAGATATATAGACAGATCTGTTCAATCATTCTGTCTCGCATTTATATGTTCATTCTTTAAAAAAAAAAATCCACTACAAAGACTGAGAAAATTGCCCCTGAAAATGAGAATATATGAGAAATACTAGATACTATCAAACATCTGGATAATTGGTATCCCAGAAAGTTCATAAGGGCATTGAAAATTGATTCCATAAAATCCTGGAAGAAAACTTTCCAAACCTAAAAAGGCACTCAAAGATCCAGTCCCAAGAAATACAAAGGACTCCAAATAGAATCAACCCAAGAAGATCTTCTCCAAGATACATCATAGCCAGACTGACCAAAATTACAAACAAAGACAAGATACTAAGACTGGCAAGAGAGAAACATCAAGTTACCTGTAAAAGATATCCCATCAGGCTAACAGCAGATCTTTTATCAGAAACAATGCAAGTGAGGAAAGAATGGGAAAATATATTTGAAGTGCTAAGAGAAAAGCAATTTCAACCAAGAATATTGTACTCAGCAAGATTATCCTGCATAAGGAAAGAAAAGACGAGAACACTCTCAGTTAAACAAAACCTGAAAGAATTTACGAACACCAAACCAGCTCTCCAAAAAGTTCTGAAGTGAGTGCTATACCAGGAAAATTAAATATAGACACACAGAAATAAGAGTTTAAAAACTAAGAAAATGGCCAACTTAATTGTAGGGACAACTGTGGAGTGAATATTATATCCTAGAATTTAATTGGGAAGATCGGACCACAACAGAAGATAGATTAAGTACATGAGACTGAACTGGTGAAATAGAATCTTATGACTTTTGACTACGACATTGCTGATTTTCTTCTAGGTTTTGTTTTCTGGTTTTAAGGATTTCTGTCTTGTTCTGAGCTGCTGATAGGTTCATGTACCTACTATTTTAACAGAATCCTGTTTCCTGGATCTAAGTTTTAAGCAAAGCTCTCAGTATTTCTTTGATTTTGATTTATTAAAGCTAAAATTACTTTTCTTGAAATTAACAAATATATTAAAATACCTATTTAATGACTGTAGCAAGCTATATAGCATCAGCTAGGTGCTACTTCATAGTATATCCATTCTATTCAGTTTCGTGCCTAAAGTCAGACATGTATTCACAGATATGTATATATCGTTTGAACTTGCTATTGAAAGTAGTTAAGATTATTTAAGGAATTTTGTGAAGCAATTAAATGTGGGGGGAAAAAAGGAATGGTAAACAACTGTAGACACCAGACTGGATGGGAAATCACATTTTGTATGCTGTTATAATGCTCAGTGAATGAATATAAATAAATTAATGAAAAATAAAAAAATCAAATAATGAAAAGGTTGTTGTCTTAGGGCATGTGCACTTGTTGGGGGGAGAGAGGGAGGGGAAGGGAGAGATGGTAGGAGGGAGGGAAGGAGGGAGGGAAAGAAAAAAAAGAGAGAGAAACAGATACGGTAAGAGGGAAAATAAATCACCCTGCTGGGGGGATTGCCACACTACAATCCCTTCTCCTTCATTCTCCTCCCAGGATCCTGGGCCACAAGGACAAATGCTGGTGTGAATTTCAAGCCACCAGGTCTGGATTCCAACAGCGGCCGGCCTTGTGGGAGTCCAGTGGCACAATTGCTATGCCATCTGTTGGCCCCCATTTACACATTTTTCAGTCTGTCTGTCCATCTATCCATCCATCCATGTTTTCAACCACTTATCACACATACACATCATTAGACTTTAATGACCTCTTAGGACTATAGCTGGCCTTTAGAACATTGTTCTCATTTCCATCGTTTTCCACTTCCTGCTTGTCTGGAAGAGCCACAGTAGAGGGAGAAAATATTTTTTGTTTAATGAATGAGGGGATACGCATGAAATTCAGTGAAGATCACTTGTCAGAATATTCAGAGGACATGTCCATCTTGCAAAGTTTAATTGTGGATTAAAGGCATTTATTTTACACAGAATATAGCTTATCATCAAAATTGGTTTTACTGTCCTTCTTAGATTCAATATCAATTTATAACTTGATTTCCAGAGAAACACCAAAATTGCTCCTAACCATTTGCCTTTTTAAGTTAATTCTTTATGCTCTCAGTCTTTGCATACGCTGTTTCTCTTCTTGGCGGTCCCTCTTCTGCCTTCCTGTTTTCATTTCCTTCTATATGTCTGGATGCCTAGCAAGCTCCAACTCAATCCTCAGATTTTAGAGAAGTTGAAAGCACACACACAAAACCTTACCAAGCACAATGAATCTCACCTGTATCTTGTGCAAGTAGCATTTTGATCTGATGGCGCTACTGGTTTAAAAGTGACACGTGGAGAAACTTGGGCTGATAGCAGAAATCCCAAGGCAAGGATAATGAGTGCTACAGTAGTACCTTAAAAAGAAAAGAATTTTACATCAGAGAATAGACGATAAGTCTTCCAAAGCATAATAGGTTTTTTAAAACAGAGCTCTGAAAAAAAACTGTATCTTCACTGCATCAAAACAAATGTTCCTAGTATTTAAACCAATTATCAGAAAAACTCATTAGCACATTCATTGTGAGACATGGTAAGTGTGAAATTCAAAGCAAATACATTTGCTAGTCAAACAGTAAATTAGTTATGAATTTGCAAAAGAAAAAGAGAGAGAGAGAGAGACACCCAGGATCACTGACAATTACAAAGTCAATTAGTGTAACCAACAATATTGAGCGGCTAACATGTCAGGAAGTATGAAAGGCAGCAGATTTACATCACGTGTCCCTTTCGGTGCCAAGAAAAGTGTTCTAATGGCATTCGACCATGTAAGAGTACAATCAATAAGCTAAAAAGTAACAAACCAATTTATATATAAAGCAGTTGAAGGAGATGTCTTTATGAAAAATGAGCAACAATTTTTGAATACTTTAAGGTTCCAGAAAAATGCATGTATTCATTTTTCTTTCCTGGTGGTATTTGGAGGTGCAATATTTGTGTTTCATTTTGAAGGTGTATCAAGAGCAATTATGCATATTGCAGAAAGGGCCCATTTTAGCAGCTAAGATAGGTATTCTGATGGTAAACAGGAGAGTTTTCAAATTTCTGAATACTGCTGTAGCCTGATGTAGTGGTGATAAACAAAAAGATGGAAAAGAGTAAGACTGTGTTAATTTATACAATTTAGTTCAATGAGACGTTATGTTTAAAAATATGAAATACAGGCAGGGCATTCATAAAGAAAATGTCTTGTTTTTCATTCTAAAATTTATTTATTTAGAGAGGAGGAGGAATGAAGAAAGAAGGGAAGAGAAGATACCCTAAAAAAATCTTGCCATGGCATGCACCTCACCCCAGACTTGTAGCTAGCCAGGATCACAGATCACAGGGGTGCCTGCTGTTTTTCAGGCAGCCCTGGGTCTGAACCCTGGACCTTCTTTACATTACTCCACACGGTGCAGTGCTGCCCTGCTGTCTGTACCACTGCAGCTGGGTCAATAATAATTTTATTCATTAAACTGGTAGGTAATGTAAGAAATAACCCAAGATGTTTGGAAGCACACCTCATTTTCTCTATTCTTCTCTGGCAAGTGCATGAGTCTCTGGCAAAAAATTAAAAAAAAAAATTGTCATCTGTAAAATGAGGTTTAGTGAAAATATTTATCTTACAGTAAATTTTAAATGTCATATTGTGTTTGAAAGATTTTTGGAATGCTATAAAATGTTCATTATTAAACTATATCACTTTTCAAACAAAACAAAACTAAATAGATTATGAACTTTATTGTTAATTTATCAAAAACCCAGGGCCCTCAGGTATTTTCCCAAATTACTTCCACCACTTATTGCCATGGAATAGGTAAGATGTTTTATTTTGCTTGTTTTTGAAATCAGGAAAAGGTGATACGTTAACATTTGAAGGAAAGATGATCCTTTTTTCATATTGTTTATGAAACAATGTCGCCATGATAAATAGTAAACTCCATATGGTATGCCTAGCACAGACTCAAAGATGACTAATTCTTGTGCTTGGCATATACAGATGCCAATATGTACTGGTTAATGGGTGACCATGGTACAACGCATTTTGTACAATGTCAGCTATTTCTAAAGAAAATGAAAAAAACATTGAGACTATCTAACTGAATTCATGGGGTTGGTGTGGCACAAACATCCTAGGTGAGAGTTCTATAATGTGGACAATATAGCTCTTGCATCTATCTCTAAAACCACCTGACCAATCTGCAAAATGTAAGACAAAGACTATTTTGGATATACAAAATTCCTAGGTACATGAAAGATAAACTTCTTTTAAGCCATATTTTTTTTCTATTTTAGTCCGTTTTGGATGGAAATATTTTAAACATGAGTATTGTATCAGTTCCTTCTGCTACACACAGCGATGCTTCTCAATCCTGGAAGCCAATACCTGGATTGTATCCCAGCCAGTCTCTGAATTAGAGTCTCCAAAAGATGGGGAGGACACCTCTGAGTTATTTATTTATTTACTGATTTATTTATTGAGAGTTTTTTGCTATAGGGTACGAGGGTGCATGCACTCAATAGACAGACAGGAAGTGAGAAATCATCCCCTCGTGGGGGAGGGGGATGGCCATGCCGCAATCCCTTCTCCTCTATTCTCCTCTTGGGATTTTGGGTACACATCCACCTGGTGTGAGTTTAAGCCACTGGGTCTGGGACTCGAACTGTGGTTGACTACATGAGAGTCCAGCGACATAGCCATTATGCCAACTGCTAATCCCTACCTCTGAGTTTTAAAAAGCTCCAGAGGTATTTGTGATGCCCACACAGTCAGAAACCCTATGACAAGCTTCTAATAGACAGGAATAGTGTCTTAAGTGACTTTATATATGAAATAAATTTTAAAATATTCTTCTAGTCCTGTCATCTACTCATATATATACCCTGAAAGCACGAACTGCCAGAATGACCTACTTACTATCACTTACAAGGCAGAGAGGCTTCACCAGTCTTGTTAATATTCAATAACAGCTATTATTCAGTGATTTGTTACTGCAGCTGGATTTACACCAAGGCTCTGGGTAAAAGGATTTCCCCAATATACTGTGCAGTTTGGGCAAATTCTTTACATTTCAAGAGAGGACCCTCTCTTAGCCAAGTGTGCTATTAAGACTTTGGATTTTTTTTTTTAATTGCCAGAGGGTGTGTGTACTCATCTGAGAGAGAGACAGAGATAGAGGAAGGAAGAGGGAGAAAGCACCCTGGCAAAGGGCAAGGTCACTCCACAATCCCTTCTCTGCTTCCCCATCCTGTCAGGATTTTGAGTGCACATGGCCATGCACTCAGTGTGATTTTCAAGCCTCCAGGGCCAGGATTGGAACAGCAGATGCCATCTAGGAGCCAGCTCCTTTAACCACTAGGCTATAGGGCTGGCCCTGGGATTTTGGTACACTTTTCCTAATAAAGGAATTCTCTACAGCAAGTGAAGTATGTTGGACAAACAGCAGTTTTAAAAATATCAGAGTTACATTAACTACCTGGTACGGGATTCGGATTATTAGTAAATGTTCAGAAAACCAAAATAATTTCTCTTCCTTTGACTCTACTAGAGCAGTTCTTGCACTGTGTGCCTAAGTATCATGTGGGAAATGTGTTTAACACACACATGCTCCAGACGCCATCTTCAGATTTTAATTTCGTAGCTTTGGGGTAGGTCCCCAAGAATTCACTTTAATGTAGGGACCTCTGGGAATGCTGATGGGGACAACCTGGGAGTGATGTTTTCAGAAATATTCCACTGCCAAAATATATGGAAGAGAGAGAGTGTTTCTGGTTTTAAGTATTACCAGTAAGGCTATCCAGATATGAAATCTCGTACTATCAAAAGAATTAAGAGGTTGTCATTAAATCGATAATATTTACCAAAAAGACCAGCTTTCTAAACAGACTTTAAAAATATTAAAGTCAGAACACCGTAAATGTCCTATGTTTAAAATTATTCATGACATATAGGTTTTATTTTCTCTGAATAAAGAGTTACTTTGCCCAGGCCTATAAACAGTGTCTTGGTAATAATTTTAAAGAAATAAATATTCAAAATTTATTTCAATATGATTTTTCCCTTTTTATCCCAATATAATAAATCATAGTAACACACCATGGAGAACAACACTAAATCAAGACTGTAGCTGGTTTAAAATAGAACAGTGTCCTAATATTTAGTACTATGAGGATACAATATATACCTGCATTCAAATGAATAAAAGAAACACCTAATAAAAATACGACCAAAACAGAATCAATAGGTATTGGAACGTGAAACAAATATCTACTGCGATGTTCACCCTGGAGTAATACCTGTACACTAACAAGGTTATTTATCCGAAGGTGTCAACGTCTGCTGGTCTGCTGGTCTTTTAGCAGGGCCTACTTAATCACAGTTAAAAACAGGAAGTGCACACACAGCACTATTTACATCAGTATGAACACGTAAAAAGAGGCCCTAAAACAAGAAACCAGGACTTCTACCGTCTAAACCACTGCACATCACTTAGACTGGCTGCCTATCAGCAGTAGGAAACCAGAGGCCTCCCAGTGCCTCTCTAGCTAGGAGAATCTCTGTGTAGTATGGGTAGTGGAGAGAGCTGAGGCTTTGGTGGTTTGGGGTTGACAAGAGTACACGGCAGGAAAGAAAAGCACCTAAGGAACGCTCATGAAAAGCAGCCCCTCTTGGTCTTTTCCGCCAAGTAACTATCTTGATATCTCCCTTTCATCACCAGAGATGGACTCTGGAAATCCGTAGGGCAGGAGACCTACACTGACAGGTAAAGCATGACATCAGCTGGAAGAGTTCAGGACAACTCCCGGATTGTGATGAGGGAAGATGGTCACACAGCGTAGTTAAAACAACCAAGAACCACACTTTGGCAGTCATAATGCTGTGCCAGCTAACATGAGCATGGTACCTGAACTCTGTCAGGCAGGCAGTATTTTAAACACTCTCCATGTGTAAAAGTGCTCAGTCCTCACAACTCTATGAAGTAGGGATGATAATTAACCCCCATTTACAGGTGAGGAAATAGAACTTAGCCCAAAGCCGCATAATTCAAACCCAAACAGTCTGACGCTGTATCAATAATGCCTCAAAAATTCTGCAGAATTGATAAGAAAGTGTCTCATTGGAATACAACAAATGAAGGGACACAGGCTGCTAGGAAAAATGTGTAACCAGCAGTTTCTCCAGATCTCAAAAGCCAAATCCTAAATTTAAGAAGCACTTAAATTCTATTTGAAAAACAGACCTCTTACGGTAGCAGTATACTGCGGTCCTGTCAAAAAGGAAGGGTGCCCATTAAAATATTTTGAAAATAGCTATTGTCTCTTCATGGAGATAACCTAAACCTCAGGGGCCAGTCAGCAAATCCAATTTCCATCCCACTGCAAGAATTTATTTTTAGCATGTCACTGCCTGACAATAATCTCTCCCCTTGTTAAGAGTTTACCATCCTAACAAACAACCTAATTCATTGTTGGATAGCTATGATTATTAGAAATATTTTATTTTCAGAACCAGTAGTTGGTGTAATGGCTATGTCACTAGACTCCCATGTAGTCGACCACGGTTCGAGTCCTGGACCCGGTGGCTTAAACTCATGCCGAGTGCATGTGCGTGCATGTCCAAGATCCTGAGAGGAGAATGGAGGAGAAGGGATTGCAGCATGGCCATCCCCCTCGGGCGTGATTTCTGGCTTTCTGTCTCTCTGTCTCTCTCTGTCTTTCTGGCAAGCGCACATGCCCTATAGCAAAAACCTCTCAAAAAAAAAAAAAAATTTTTACTTTCAGCACTACCACCACATACAAAAGGAAATTTTTTCTTAATAATAATAATAATAATAATAATAAACTGTCTTCGTAACATCTACTATCTGCTAGAATAAGGCACCTATGCTTCTCTTTAGTCTTTTCTCCAGGCTAACCATCTCTGATTTCTCCAACAGTTCATAAATACATGGTTTTGAAATCTTCACTTATCCCTCACTTTCTCCATTTATCCTCTTTTCTTCCATACCTTGGCTACTGCAATCACCTTTGCCCCTTAATCAGATCATCTCTCCTCCCTTCCCCTCGGTGCTGATGCTGCAGTTCAGTTCACAAGTTATTGGATTCAAGGGCACCCACTGCTTAGGCAAGCATGAAAGGGGGAGACATTCCGCTCTGTGAGGGTCAGGGGAGGGTATGTATTCCCAGTTACTAAGTTTGAAACTCAGAATGTGTTTTCTCATCAAAATCTGGGATGAGTGCCTGAAACTGTCCTATTAGATCAATGTTTGAAGTATAATTTGGTTAAAATAAAATTGAGTTAGTGCTGCCCTGGAAATTTTACATTTTAATGGAAAAATGTATTATGCTCCAAACATAAAAGAGCCATTAGAATACAGCTAACTGATAAACAGGAATGTGACTGTATATTTGTAAATCAGAAACTTGTATGATGTAATCATGTGAAGACAATTTCAAAGATGAGTCCCATTCTGTCAAGTCAAACAGCCCTTGTGTTACAGAGAAATAAGGAATGAAGAAGACAGAATATAAACACAAAAGACACTTGAAAATAAGAAAGGGTTTGCCTTATTTAGCTATCATAAAAAAACACACTGAACCAACCCCAATTTACCCTAGAACTCAGGCCTGTTTCAAACAATGAGTTTGTCCCTGCTTTGTGAAGAAATTATATGGTTCTTACATTCTGGCTGTGAAAAAGCTTTGGAAAAAAAGATGTTCCAAATATACTTCCATATTATTTCCAATTTCAAAATATGTTAAGAAGCAAGTTTTGATTACCAAGCTTTTCAAATAAGGATAGAACAGCAACAAAAAAATGATTATGCTTTTCACTTTTGTACCTTTGAGTAAGTAGAACTCAAACGAACAAGAGAAAAAGGTTCTACCCCAGTTATATCCAAATTCTTCTTACAGTTTGTTTCTGGTCATATGCTAGTTACTGATGTCGTACAGTGACACTTATTAAAAGCTCATTTTTACTTTGTATCTTTGTCTAGAGAAATCCTAATTTATATTGTTTAGCTAAGAAACCAGTATCAAAAGTGGTATCAGTATTGTCTCTTGGAAGGTTAGCTTGTCATCACTATAAAGAAGTTGATATTGAAATCTTCATCTAGCCACTTACCTGCTAAACTACCAAAGGTAAGCTTTCTGCGGCCCACTTTCTCAACAAGCCAGACTCCCACGAGAGTGAAAATGAAATTTGTGAAGGCCGTCACTGAAGCCAGCCATATTGCGAGTCTATCATCTTCGACACCAGACATCTGCAGGATGGTTGCACTGTAGTACCTGCAAGGCAAAGAAAAAGCAATTGCAGTTCAGAGTTATTCAAAGAAAGTTATTTGGGTAGCAAAAGTAGTAGCCACCTTAACAAAAATAAAAACATGAAAAGCTACAGTAATAACATGAAGTCAACATGGGAATTCATGCAAGCTCTTTAAAAGATCAGACTAAAGACTCTATTCAGATCAATTTAATTCGAAGTCTGCATAATCAAGAAAAGACAACCAAGCAAGGAGATAGAGGACTGAAGGCTTCCAAAGTGAAATAGTGCCCACAATTAGGAACGGTGGCAGCTGGCAGTTTCATTAAAACTATCAAAGACCAGCTCCAAGTCCATAGAATGAATTAGAAGTCATCATACACTTTCAATTTATGCCCTTAAAAGAATAAAGTGACTCAGGGCGTTTAATAGGGAAATGTGATACAATGGTAGAAATCTGGTACAAATAAAAAAATCTCTTCACAGAAGACAAGGAGAAAGAATGAATCAGAAGGTATCTGGCATTGTGTACGGAGATGAGAAAATGACATGATGAACATGAGAATTTGTTCTGACGTTCCTGGAAAAATGCATCCTTTGGTGAGGTAAGTCTCCTGTATAATCACCACATTAGACTCTGTAGCCTCATTTTGTGCTAAATGAACTCACTGGATACTGGTTTTAAAACACATTGATGCCAGCTTGTTTGCAGAATGGAAGACATGTCTGGCACATTTAAGAATGGACAGGTTTCTCATGGACATTTCTTTTTTGGTAGAAATAATAGCAGTAAAATTAGCTGATTATTTTAAAGTTGACCTGAAAACAAAGAAAGCAAAAATATTGGGGCCAGCAGACTCCCAGAGAGCTGAATGCAGTTTGAGTCCCGGACATGGTGGCTTGAAAATCATGCTGGGCACATATGTGTGTGTGTGCCCAAGATCCCAGGAGAAGAATGGAGGAGAAGGGATTGCTGTGTGGCCATACCCCTGGGGGCGGGGGGGTGATTTCTCATTTCTCTCTTACTGTCTCTTTCTCTCCAGCGAGCACACACGCCCTAAGGCAAAAAAAAAAATAAAATAAAATAAAAAAAAAAAAGAAAGCAAAAACATTCCTAGTGAATTATCAATGAAATGTAATAGAATGCAAATCTTTGTTTGTTTGTTTTGTTTTTGCCATCCAGCATATGCAATCAGCGGAGATAGACACAGAGAGAGGGAAAGTGAGAAATCACTCCTTGAGGGGGGATGGCCGTACCACAGTCCCTTCTCCTCCATTATTCTCCTGGGATTTTGGGCATGCATGGACATGTGCCCAGAGTGATTTTCAAGCCACTGGGGTCCAGGATTCAAACTGTGGTCAGCCATGTGGGAATCCAGGTGCCTTAATCACCACACCATCTGCTAGCCCTAGAATTTAAATCTTAAAGCCATATTCTGAACCATGGCTTTGCCCAGTTTTTTAAATCATTCTAAAACAACAAGTTAGCTTTACCCAGATCCAATGGTGGGTATCCAGGCAGTGTGTTAGATCAAAATGGGTATTTCCATTGATAAAAATCTACAGTTCCGAGGCCAGCAGGTGATATGGAGATTAAGGAGACTGGAGCCAACACAGCTGACTGAGTGGTTTGAATCCCAGACCCAGTAGATTGAAGATCAAGCCAGACACGTATACATGTATGTCCAAAATCTGGAAAGGAGCCATTCCCTCTGGGAGGTAAGCTTTCACTGTCTCTATGGCAAGTGCATGTTTCCTAAACTACAAACACACACACACAGACACACACCTACAGTTCCTTGATATTTATCAATACTTTCATAATGTTTCAAAAATAAAATCTGTTTTAAATACATTTAATCCACACTGATTGATCAATGGCTTCTGTCTACCATTTAAAAAATTAATGATGATGGTTTTTATGTAAAATATTAACACCAACATGAACTCATTCATTTTGATTAAAAAATGTTTTCCTTCCTAAATTAGTAAAACTGAACTTTTGATTATTATGCACATGAAGGATGTGTTTTACTGATCACAACAAAAATTATGCCAACCGTTTTAAGATTCTGAATTCTGACAGCTGTTGTAAAAAGAAAAAACTCCTGGTGGAATTACTCGCTTCATCAGTAAAATCGTGAATGTTTTGGAGTCAGACTGTAAAGTGACAACAAAAATTATGAAAATAATTCATTACATCTGAATAGTGCTTTACAGTTTTTATGTTCTGACACATAGTTTCAGAGTGAACCATGGAGCAAGGTCAAACAGATACATAACCACCAAGAAACTAAAATGAATACCAAATCAGAAAAGGTAGAAAACAGAAATGCTGAGAGAAAACTCAAATACTTAAGGCCAACAGAATTTGATACTTGCTGTGCTACTGAATTTCAGAGTCCTCTTAGTTATTCAGGAATGGAAACAAACGTAGCACAAACTAATTTTGCCAATTAGAGTCATGCAGAAATTAAACAAAACACAGAGGCTATTTTGATGTTTTCATTTTCCATACAGTAAAATCATAACATCGTAAGTGTTAAGAAATGGAAAGGGAAGTGATATAAAACAAATTAAGTTATCTGACTTTTATTTAAAATGAAAAGTGCTACATAGGTATAAAAATTCTTTGAAGGCATTTAAGTTTTAGAGGAAGAATTCAATCAAACATTGGCCTAGGATTCAGAAACATGTATTTTAACGGCACCTCTGTGGTCTGCAGGCCAATTTCTGTAATGTCCACTAAATATTTATTGATTGGTTATCTACTCTATAAGCTATGCGAGCTATTAGATCTTGCTGCTTTCAAGAAGCTCACAGTTTTGTATAAGACAATGAAGTGGAAAGAAACCATTTCAGGATCAGAAGGTGCCCAAGGCACAATGTGGCATAAAGGATAAAGAAAACAATTTTATTGGATGTGGCAGAGTCCTTGACTTTCCAGGGAATATAAGGGTTGACCGTGCTTTGAAGAATTCATCAGGGTTTACACAGCAGACATGACAATCTAGGAGGACACTGGTGAGGGATATGACATACATGAAGGACAGAAGTTCAAAATAGTACGCTGCTGGGGTCTCAAGTACTTCGCCTTGGTGTACACAAAAGAGGAGCTTGATTCAGACTGGAGCAGAAGCTTCCCTTGGGGAGGGGCTGGAATGTGATGCTGCCCATTTGGGCTTTATCCTGTAGTCAATGGAAAATCACGAATTGGACTTGGAAGAGATGTACAAGATTGTGTCTATTCTATGAAAAGATCACTCTCATGATAGCCTCGTGGGTGGACTGGGAGTGGGCTGAAGCCAAGGCTGATTATTTTGAAGCATATTTTAAGTCATCACACTGGCAGAGGCAACTGCAAATTATCCATATTAATGGAAAACAATAAGAGCAGGGGCAGAAAGTGGCTGACGGCCTTACATCCCTCTCAACAGATCTGCAACTTCTACCCATTCTCAGACTTTTCCTGTAAGAAATGCCTCAAGTTTTACCTTCAAATCCTTTCTCTAATATTGGCAAATGTATTAGTCTCTATTGCTGTCCTAACAAATTTACACAGACTTAGTGGCTTAAAACATATATTTATCATCTTATAGTTCTATATGTTGGAATTCTGACACAAATCTCAAGGGATGTCAAAAGTCAAGTGTTGGGGGGTTCTGTTTCTTTTCTGGAAGCTCTAGGGAAAATAGTTTTCTTGCCTTTTCCAGCTCTTAAAATTCCCACCCTCTTGATCCCAATACCCTTTTCCCAATTTTCAAAGCCAGCGAAGGATCGCCCAATCTTAGACTGCTTCACTATGACCATCTCTTTGCCACCCTACTCCGTATTTAAGGATCTCTGTCATGCCACTGAAATCCACTCAGATCTCCAGAATAATCTCCCTAATTAGGGTAAAGGATTAGCAGATTTACAGTCTGCAACCTTAATTTCCCTCTGCCATGTAATGTAACACAGTCATAGGTTCTGGAGATTAGGACATGGACATCTTTCCGATCACAGTAAAGATGCTAATCAACAGTAAAATAAGAAAGAAAAAGAAAAAAGGATTGAGAAGGTAAGGAGTGAAAAACAAAGACAAATTCCTTAAAGAGAAATCAATTCCAGAGAAATTCAGGCAATAATTATGTTTTATTTTATATGGTACAGGATGACATATCTAGGTCAGAATAATTCACAAACCTAATTTTTAAATGTCAGGCTATGGAGTTGTGCAAAGATACATTTAACTTACATTTTCACTTAACAGACAAAAAAATGTAAAGTTCTCTCTTAAAAAAAAATCTGTAAATTTTTCTTTATAAAAAAAGTGTGAATTCCTTTATTTTCATAAGCGATGTCGTCAGTCAGCCAACCATTTATGTAATGGACTACCGCTGACCTTACAATCTTCTAATGAAGCAGTTCGAACTTCCAAGAGAAAATTCTCAAGGGAGTGAGTATGCATTCAAAAGCCCCAAAGAGCATAAGAGAGCCTTCTTCACAGAAGAACAATATGAACAAATGGAAAAGGCTTTCTTTTCCTTTCAAACTCGTGGTAATGCCTTCTCTTTTCAAAGTCATTTTGTAAAACCTATCAGACTATCACCTTCTTCAAAGATTCACTGGGCATCTTTTGGTCATCTCATACATGCAATCTCTTCCCCAGAGTGAAGTTGAAAGGTTTGCAACTCTCTGTAGACATTTAAGAGCAGAACAGGCTGGGCGACACGCAATCTCTTAGAGATTGGATGGCACCCAGCTGTCAGTCCCAAATTTCAAGTTAAGATCAAAGCAAAGTAGCTCTAGGAAATGCACAGACACTGGTAATGACAGTCTATCCTAGCAATGACTTTAATTACAGTAAAAACAAAACAAAATAAAAAACCCTGAGTATTTCATATATTATTGTGTGATATAAAACTATTTAAATAAAACTAATTTCTGAAAAAGTTACCTTTTCTGGGGACTAAAGTTTTCTTTATTTTCCTTCTTTCTTTCTTTTTTTTTTTTTTTTTTTTTTTTTTTTTCTTTTTGCGGTAAT